ATCTATTACTGAACAGACGCACGGCAACTTGGAATCTATTTGTTAAACAGAGGGAGCGTGACTTGACCGTTAAAAATTTAATGGTAGCTGGAGTTTAATCGAATATTTTTTATCTCGTTTGGTTCCTGTGCCGGTTTCTCAATGAACTTGAAATTTGAGCGAGGGAAGCTGAGGCCCAACAGTACCGACCCTGTGGTTTCCAGGGTTCAGGATGGTAAATACGCACATTGGTATACGTTGAAGAATCATCGCCCATTGTGTTTACTGTCACCAAGTATACAGGAGTACCACTGGCATTTTGCACAGGATCCCACTGCAGAGATAAAGAGGTGAGGTCCATATTTATCACTCTTGGAATGCTCGGTGTCGGAATCTTGGAGCCGTCACCATCTTGTATCGAGGCAAAGCTGTTCAATTGCTCCAAAAATTCACAACTTGCCCCACAGCTGCTTGAATTTCCCTGCAAGGATAATGATAAAGGTTTGGTTACAGATAATGATCCTCTAACTGTGAACTACTGCTGATTCTCTTTTTAGGTTTTTGAATAAGGAGGAATATTTCCCTAAGATATTTTTGCAAGGTAACAGCAAGCTTGCTCTATCTTGCAAAGTTGCACTTTGAAGGGGAAGTAAAACAAAGGTGAGCGATCTCCTACCAAACTGATGACAAATTACTTCTCAAAACTCGTATGAAAAGCATTGTTTATATTCAATAAGTGCTTAAAAATAGTATTGGATCATGTAAGCTAGCTATCGTTGATTTATTATGCAGCAGAAGATATAATTGATACAGTACACATGAGATAGCTATGACCTCAACTGGGGAAGCGAATTCAGTTTTTTACTGTATGTATATGGCGAAATCAACACTGATGTCTTTGAATGGTAAAATATTCCATCGTTAGTTATTCCTAAGAGTTTGATTTACTTTCTTTCAATTAATAGGTCTGGAGGGTTCATACTTACACAATATTGTAGACATTGTGATTCAGAGTGGCCCAAAATTACATTCCCACATGGTCCTAAACACTTAAAAGAGGTAAAGGTGACAAAAATACTGATTATCAAACAGAATTATTGTCATAATCATCGTCATTTTTATCATTTTCATTCTATCTTCATCGTAACGTCATCGTGACCAAGCATGACATGAAAAAAATGTGTCAAAGGACTTACCTTGGTGCAAGATGTACTTTCACAAATTTTCTCTGAATCGTTATGAACTGCATACTACAATTTGAGCATACAAAGAAATATCAATTGATAAGTATTTGTTTTGAGGATCAATAATTTGAAACTGTAAACTTTCTCAGGGTATAATCTTATTGAGGATCCTTTACATTCGCGCTGAAAATAATAGAAAGTTCCTTCGGTGCATCGGTAAAAAACCATATATATTTACTTAAAAGTTGCAACGGAATCACCGCTGCCTGTACCGACTCAACTCTACCACCCAAAGGATTGAAAGCACCATTCGTAATTCATTTGTCACATTACAACTACTCGAAGATGTATTTTTTTTGGAAAGCCTTTCTGACATGTTTTTGGCCTTTTTCACTTAGTTTCTTAGATTTCCTTTTCTTCCTCTCTTCGCCATTTTAAATTATTTTGATCTTTTTATGAGCCGAAAGTTTTTTCCTATTATTTTTTGCCTCTTAGCAACGTACAAAGTAATGACGTCATGATAAACACATTGATTTTGCTGTGGAAATTTCGGGAAATAAGCTAAGGATTCTATTGGAATAAAGACTTCATACAGCTTTGCGAAACGGATGATAATCGAGCTTCACATCAACCCTCGGTTTTTTCTTTCTGTCAAGACAGATACATTATTGCAACAGCTTGCTCTCAGAATTCTCTCTGGTGCAGGCGGCAAATTGCAAAGAAAACGCGGTTGCTTGATATATTAACAAATTTATTGAAATTTGTCTGTATCAAAAGTTTGCATTTACATTTTACATTTTAGTACAACGGAGCTGTTGATTTTTCCCAAATGACTTTAGCCCTAGCCTATAGATCTATGGATTGTTTTTATTTATTTTTATGAAAAAGACTGTGACTATGTAAAGTGTGAAATGAGGTATTAATATGACTGACCTTACTGATCATTCGAACAAAAACTTTCAGATTGTTCATGAAGGTCTTTGGGTCACCGAAAGTTTATTTTAACTGAGGAAAACTTTCTGCAAAATTGATAATGTGCAAAAAAAAAAGCCATCGACTCTCTGTAACCTTATTTTTTTAAAATTATTTACAGGAGCTTTTGTTCAGACGATTCACTTTCAAAAGTGGCTATATGAACGTTAGAAGGACCAGCGCTAATCATTTTACTTGGACTTAGCGTTAGGCCAGTATTTTTGTTTGTGTAAGCTTGTTGTTTAGGAACGAGAAATTGAAAAACTAATTATTAACACAAACTTAGCCTTAGGATAGTGCAAAAAATTTCGAGTCTATTCTACAACCTAAGGGTTAATCAAGAACTAAAAATCTGTACTTATTTTAGAAGAAGAAGAAGGATTCTCGCAGGCGATTTCACTTTCTTCTTTACCTTAGTACGGTCGAAAATCAATGGAAATTAAAAGGCACCAGAGAATTGAGAGATCAAAGTTAAACGATTATATCAGTAATTATACAATTGCAGTTCTACGTATTCAAAATGTTGGTACAGGAGTAAAAAAGTGGATCCAAAACTTATGGAAGTGTGCTTTGTATGTTATTAACACGCTCTAGTCGAGAAATGAGAATGAAAATGAGAAACTTATATCATGTAAAGCGCAAGAGATTGTTCACTAAGAATTAAGTTATGATCTTGAGTGCGTGTCTGAAAAGACTACTTGACTGTGAAGCGATAACCAGCTCTTTGAGCGAATTTTATATATTTTTATATGTACTGTTCTCAAAGTCGAGAGTCCTATCTTCACTGTTAAAGTTAGAGATGAAGTTTACTTTTTCAATCAAAACTATATTTTCATTTTTTTTTGAAAAACAATCTAAATTATAAGGAATATTTGAAGAAAGATCTAGACGTTTAATTTCAAAGTAATCAATTGGTGTGCATGTATAATAGACTAGCTTTTTGCGCGGACACCTTGAAAACCACTTAAGAGAGGCAATTATCAGTAGGAACAGAAAAAAAATTCAATACAAGTGAGTTTTTAATTCGCCAAACAAAGCAATGTTTTTGTGGGATGTTATTTAAAGTTCATCTTTTTGACCTGAAAACGGAAACCGCTCTTTTCTTTGTGTCTTCTTGGACATGCGTCACCGATCCACAAACACTTTATGACTCAACACGCACATGATAAAATTCCAATGATCAAAATGATTTGTTCCAAGCATTTTAGAGTTGATAAATTTAGGATCTCTTACATTTTTCATGAGATCTTTTTAATACAGGTGTTACATAAAGCTGGTCGATCTCGATCAGTTAGCAGGTATGACATCATTTATTGGTTTTATTAATTTCCGCGTTGGATGCCGGCCCTCTTGCCAAGATGTTTAGCAAACGAATATCGTCGCATCCCGGCATGATATTTTAATTTAGAGAGCATATGATGCTGATTTCCCCCTAGCAATAGGATTTGAAACATTTCACACTAAGAGCAGTCATTAGTCGAGAATATTGATCGTAGTTTTGATTTTGCCATCCGACCCCGAACTAACATCCGGTGGCGGGCGAATTACTTCAAGGAATAACATCTGATTTCTACAAAATGCGCAAATAACTGAAATCAGTAGCACTCGATCTTCAGCTTTTTTCATGAAACGAACAATAGACCCCAATATCGTGGCAAATTTGTCTCGTTTTTTACTATCGACTCATTTAACGCAAAGAATGGATAAGAATTATTAGAGTTTAACTTGAACTCACCTGAGTGTAACAATTTGCGGTACAACGCGCTTTTTTTACAATTTTGTCATAAGAAATGGTAAATCCTTGGACACTCAAACAACACATAGCCACGCAAGTGAGGAAGAAGAATCTGACAAGGCGACCATCGTGAAGAAAGCGAACTTCTAACGCCATCCTACAAAAAGAAGTTGAGAAGTTGAGAGACAGTGAAGTCTAATATTGCCGAGACCCTCTGCACATTAATCAACCTTAGAAGCAAACGGAAAATTATCAGAGATCGTCTACGCATTTGTTTTATAAACGATTAGCTATGAGGCAAACAAAACAGGAATATTGATTGGCGGAGGTCAATGACGTGAATAAGAGGAATTAATATGCACATTTGGCCACAAACGATGTAAGTAGATTTTAGATGATAACCAGGAGCAAAAGAATCCAAAAGTGAACAAATTTTTGTAATTTTCAGAGACTGTAATAACAGAAAAAGAAGAAGAAATGCAGCTGAGGCCGATGTAACGGAATATTTAGAGCGGAACGAGTGATAATTGCTCTCCGGCAATGAACTGATACGTTTCCCTCTTGCGAGGAAACTCAAACTGATCCATTCAAAACTTTTGTACGCGCAAAAATTTTGATTGATAAAAGTGCTTATTTTTAGTTACATATTAGGGTTAGAGGTGACTCTCAGGAGTGGTACTTTTCTAGAAGTTATGAACAGAAAATAAAATTGATAACAATTTCTACTTTTTTCTATAAACTTTTTGAGTCGAGAATGTCACTCTATTTGTTCTCTAAGTGTGATTCCGCGCAGGCTTGGGGTCTAAATTTAGAAGAGAAAAAGAAATGAAAAAGGAATTAAAGAAAAAAAAACCATTGATAGCCAACCAAGGTTTTTCAAAAGAGGTCCTCGACTACATAACGTTTCATCATAACTATACTTTTCCGCTGTTAACTGCGAAGTATTGAATTAATTCCTCAGCCATATGCATGATAAACGAACCGGCCAAAAAACTTATGATGAAATATGTCATGTACGAGAACAACTGCAAAATCATGAAGCAACCGGAGCAAATATATTCTGACAGGAAGTATTGTGACGTCAGTCTATCGTAGCTAATTCCTCCCTTCCGACCAACCATCCCAATGATTCATGAGTTGTCTCAGACAATTTCCGGTACTCATTCACACTCCTGCTTATTTTAGAAAGAGAAGCTGCAATGGTACCACGTCTATTCGAAGTGCATCAGTACAACGGCGCTTATTCGATTTTCAGTGCGTGAATCATGCATTAGCCGATCCTGTTTCCGGGGTAAAATACAATAGAGAACATATTGTTTCCAATTCTTTATCAGATAAATAGAGAATAATACATGGGCGCGCGTAGATATGAAATTTGTCTTCTCGTGTTCAACTCGACATCTTACTCGTGCGCTGCGCTCACTCGTGAGCTATCGAGTGAAACACTCGAGGAGAAATTCCATTTTGTTAATTTCGAAACGCTTAGTTCGTACACTTTTTAATTTATTATCTGTTTGTTCTGGTTTATTTTTATCAATCAGTCTTCGTTAGTTAATGATTATTACATAATAAGTTTGTTGTCTCCAATCAATTGCCATTGTAAGGTTCGATTTTCGATCATCGTTACTAAATCATCGCTATTAGTTTGTTCTTCGATGCTTTCGCTGTCAGTTATCTGCTATCATTAGGAGTTAGACCAAAGTAAGTCTTATCTATTTTACATTTACGATGTTTACCTTTTGTCTATATTATTGGTGTAGTTCTCGTATTCATTTTTTTGTGCAATCGCTTCATTTTTAGTCAGGTTAATGTTACATTTCGCAACGCATTTTTCTTAGTTTACTCTCTGTTGTATTTTCTTTTAGTTCGAAGCACACAAACTCAATCGCTACTTCCATCGAACACAAATACGTCTCAGCGCTATGTTCTACAATTATTAAAGATCGCTTCACATTCTATGTGCGTTCGTCTACTCAGCCGCCCACGTAACCTTTTTAGGTTACACACATCTACACGCGCCCATTCTCTATTAATCACGCGTCAATCAACGAAACAGTCTCTATTATGGAACACCTATGATGAACACCTATATAATTATGCATTTTTATATATAAATTTTTTGAAGATAAGCCTCTAATGAACACAACCAGCCTATTTTTCCTCACAAATACATGTGGACGAAATTCTAATTCAATTTCGCAAGAAATACAATTGGCACTATTTGAAATATATAATCAGCAATCAATGATAAAGAAATGCAAGGTTAAATTACAGAAATACTTTAACACGGATTGAGTCGGATTGCATGTTCAGAGTTAGTTTTAGTTCTCTGATGAATAACATCTCGTGCACCAAGCAATCGAATCTATTTTTGCATTTCTTTAGAACATCGAAGCGCCTCAGTAGGACCTCGCCTCAGTAGGACCTCGCCAAGGAATAGAAGATGACCGTTGTTTATGTCCGTCTACGCGTACTTGTAAGTGTCCGCGCATATAGCCCACACAACCTGCATCGCACAGATCACATTAAAAACGAAAAACAATGCATTGTTGGTTTACGATCTGTGGCTTTTTCTCTTGTACCTTTAGGTCTTAGTTGATTTTACGGCTAACGAACACGGGTTGGACAGTTGTCTGTACTTTAAGGTTGAGGTTCTTGAGTTGTTTCTTGACATAATTTGCTGAATTTTGGTCCTTGAGTGGTATGAACACTCGAACAATGGCCCCTGGTTCTTTTGCCCCCTGTGAGGGGTGTTGGCCAGCTACTCTTGATTGAGCAAAATCGTTGATGGTGGAATTAATCAGACGTTGTGGGTATTTAAGTGTTGAGAAAACTTTCTCTAGGCGATCACACACGTCAGAGAAATACGTCCAAGAGGAAGATAATCGGTGTGCGCGATCAAGCGTGGCGGCCAATTAACTCCGTTTGTAACAATTGTCTACATGGCTTTGATATTGTAGTAATAGACTTGTGTTAGTTGGTTTTAAATCAGTAAACCTTGGTTTCCATTCGGGGAGCACAGTTGAGTAGTTGAGTGTCAAGGAAAGGAAGTATCAGTGCCATTCTTTTCTACCTCCATGGTGAATTTGATCGACGTGTGCACGTTATTAAGAGTGTGTAGGAAATCAGTCGCTGTTGTTGCGTCAGGCATTACAGTGAGCGTGTCATCAACATATCTGCGGTAGAATGATGGGAGCTCTCCATGGCGCTTAAGGGTTTCTTTGATAAAGGACATGAAGACATTAGCTAGTAAAGGCCTGAGCGGGGACCCCATAGCAACGCCATCATTCTGTTTGTTTAGAGCTCCATTGAATTGAAAAAGTTGGCCTTTGGTGCCTACACTCAAGAGATCGACTAGATCCGTTCAAGTTGTACGTTGTATCGAACCAATTGTCCTTGAAAGCTCTGTCGGCGAGGATTTCTAAAGTTTCATCTAAGGGTACATTTCATTCGTAAGTTCACAGCCGGTATCCTTCGCTGTATACTGACTAAGGTTTAAGGGCTTCAGTTTTTTATCGAACCATTTAGCAAGTTGTATGTGTGCGTTGCGATAATATGGGTCGCATAGCTCACCGTTCTCTATGGGTTTTTGGTAACCCATATAGAGAACTAAAACCAACTCTGAACGTGTAATCCGACTCAATCCGTGTTAAAGTATTTCTGTAATTTCATCTCGCATCCTATATCGAGTAAATTATTGCAATTATCAATACTCGCAAATTTCATTATCCTTGACAATGGCGTCAGGAAGATTCCGAGACGTCGGTTTATACCGCTATTTTTTACGTGTTTACGTATTTCCAGTTATGTGCATCAAAAAAGAAAAGGAAAGAAAAAAAAAATTCACAAAACAAATTACCTGCATGAACCTGCTTTAAATACAACGTTACCAGTGCTCTGTGGATACAGCTGATGCAAGAATTATGACGATACAAGAAGCGAATATCAGTTATTATTTCCTCAAGGAATCGTACTGGATTGGAATTAAACTCATCGTTTGGAGACAATGGTGACTAATAAGTGAAACCAATAATCGTATTAACTCACACTCGGCAGGGGAACGACGTGTGTCGGATAAACTTTGATGAAATTGACAACACAGCAAATGTTGTCTCGGCCCCTAGCTAGTTATTTCCATGTCCACTGACGTAAACCGTCATTTTAATGTAAACATCATGTGCTCGGATGAAAACTTTAATGTTTTCCATGACAAATATTCCTTTCAGTAAAATGAACAGGGTTGCGAGTATTTTTGTTTTTAAAAAATACTTTTAGCACTGCAAATTTACGCAAATCCTAATTTTATCCCGAAAGGGTCCCCTTTTACTTTTTAATCCTTTCATTACGTGATAAAGTTAATGCACCTGGTCCAATAACAGGCAATCAAGGACAAAGTAAACTCCTTGTATAAAGATTGCATAAAGAACTCTTATGCCTCTTTTGATCTGATTCTGTGACGAAAGGCCTCGTCCTTGTACTGAGGTTTCAAGTTGTGTTGAAAACTATGTCATACTATTATGAGGTCAATAGGACATTACATCACTTAAACGGAATGATAGTCGAAGTTAATTTTACACTAGTGCCCTATGCACCATTAAAAGGTTAGGCAATTGCAAGCCGTAGCTACTCACCTAAATATAATTAACGAAGTGTCATAAATGACAGCATCCTAAGACAGCTGCGAAAATCATCAGCATCTAAAGATGAAAAAGGAAAATTACCGGAACACTTCTAGAGATTTGTAATTTGCCTCTTGCTTACCATCATGTCCGAAAATAAATTAAAAATTATGATAAGGGAAATTTTCTTCGTGCAAAAAGGAAAAATAAGGAGTAACTTTTCCATGCGAGTTAAGTTGGGATTATTTGGTGTACCCAACAACCTAAAAATGTTTGCTCAAGGAAGTAGTCTCCAGTTTTAATGTTTTCAGACTAATATAAATTGATGTCATGTGCCTTTATCTTGGATTTTATCGATTGCTCTTATCATTACATCTAGTTTCATAATGGTTTTATATTTGTAGCGTCAAATTTTTTGCTAGCTATCTTTATAAGTTTCATATAATAACTGCCATTCAGTTATGCAGTTTTTCTTATTATGGTGTTCGTTTTTTTCTTACTTGAAAGCGGAATAATTCACGAAAAATGTGTCCGCTTCTCCCATTTCCTGTTTCATAACTGTAGTTAAAATTCAAAAAGGAATAACGTGATACAAATTGCCTGATACTCTAACACAGAATTAACAAAACAACGCCATAAAAGAAAAACAACAAGTGCAACAAATAACACCTTTCCTCGGTAAACAAGTCAAGATTCCGTTCTTCCGCTAGTTGTCACCATCCTACGGATGATGTCGAAGATCATAAAAGTTTTATTGCGGAGACTGAAAGATTCCAAGCTGTTTAACCTGACGGAAAAAAGTTTTCAAAAGCAGTTGTGGTTTTTTTAAGGGCTTTTAAGGGTAATTCACAAAGCTTGACAGCATTTTTTGGAAGTCTGCAGGAAAACGTGATGTGGTTCTTAAATGAGCTGGC